TCCGACGTTGCGTTTGTTCTTCTTACCTTGTTCTGCTCTGCTTCTGGAGGCGGGGTTGGGTTTTCGTTTGGGGTTGCTGAGGAGCTGTTGTGTACACACCACACATGGATGAAAACGTCCCTTTAATGCGGGTACTTGTGACTGTTGCGGTTTGTTCCTCGGTGCTTTCATGTGAATGCTTTGACAGCTTAGCAGTGAAAATGCAAACAGACCAGGCTCATTCACCAGCACTTACTAGTCACCAGCTCACACGCATCATTGCTTGGAGAATTTGGAAGCTGAAGTGGCAGTAAATAAATTGGCCTCCAAATTAAAGCGGCTTTTGGTAATTTAACCCCAGCAATTCTGTCTAGTATTTCACAGGTATAAGAGACCATTTCTTGAGATGCAATTTCTAGTCTTCATGGTTGTTTCAGCTGTAACAACAGCCATTTTGATCTAGGATCTTTGTCATCATCATGATCTGAGGATTGTCCAGCAACTATGGTTTAACTGTACCCCATAAATCATGTTTTTAAAGAATACGGAGTGGTAGAAGGGACTCATTTTCTTTCCATGTGTATAAAAATAAAAAAAGTACTATCCTTTCCTATCCATCTGAACTCCAAGTAACTTCACTGGAAGGTCTTTCAGAGTAAGGAGGGAAATTTGATCCTCTGAGGTGCTTTTCCTGAAAGTGGGAAGGTCTGCTTGTTCTGAAGTGTGTGGAGCACTGTGAGCAAGCAGACTCCTTGTCAAGCTACCAGGATTTCCTCAGATTTATTCAGGATTGTAGATGATCATAAAATGATGATAACAAGAAACACTGTAATGACCTCCAGATGGGACAGAAACCAACTGTGTTATTAACAATGCTCAAAACTGTACAGCTTTATCCCAGTAATACAAATAGTGTTGCTTGGCAGTAATCTTTTGGTTTTTTATATATATATATAAAGTTTATATGCACATATATATATAATTTTATATATATATAATTACAAATCTTCAGCAGATGTCTTAATTTCCATATTTTTATCTTCACTCTGTCTCCTCTCACACTCTCCTCTGTGTGCGTGCGTGCATGTGTGTTGTTCAGCTAGGTTCTCTCCCTCCTTGGGGTGTGTTTGTGTTATATTTGGCTAGATTCTCTCTCGATTCCTTTAAATAATTTATTTCCATTAACTGCACTAGCAGGAACTGAACTGAGCAATGACAGGATGTCCTGCTGCTGAAATCTGTGCACCAGTACTCCCAATACTGGAATGTTTGGGCCTGTAATGAGGGCATTATGGGTAGAGATTCTTCTCCGTCATCCATCTCCATTCGGGGTGTCCTTCTCTGGCATTTGTGAATTTGATATTAAACCTCTCTATGCATTTGTGTGATACATCAAAAGCATCTTTATATTCTTCCTGGGAACTCAAGAACTTACTCCGCATATTCTGCACTTCCTCATATCCCACATTCTGGTGTGTTGTACATTCATTTGTATCTGTTTCTCTGCTATTTATTAATATATTGCCCAGAAAGTCAACGGGATGGTTAGTGTGGATGTTTTCACCTTCAGAGCTCATGGCCCACATTTAAACCCTTATGTTTTGCATTTATCTCCTCATGAAAATACAATACTCAGGAACTTATCCCCTAGCTGGGGCACAATGTGTGGTGGGGGGAGGTTAAATTCTTTCCACCTCTGTTTCACTATGTCAGTGACTAAAACCTTTAGAGGGTTATAGGCTGTTTTCAGGGACCTGGAACCTCATTCTGCGTGTTCTTTGAAATCATACGCACCTGTAATAATTTGTAAGCATTGATGTTACTGCATAGGGGTTTGTGCCCATAATTTTGCAAGAACATAAAACACAGTGGGGTGTGTAAGGTTTTGGGGGTTGGTTTTTTTTTTTTTTTTTTTTTTTTGCAGGTAGCAAGGAAGCCAGGCCATTGGAAATTTGCCCTTAAGTGTTTGGTGAAGTTGAAGAACATCTGTTGTGGGCTGTGTTTGCTCCAGCTCAAAGTATATGTTTTAGCGACATGTCTCTAGCCAAATCCCTTTTACAGCGGTGTGTCTTGTGGACAAGGAGTTGAAATTTTTTCAGCCTTTTGGAACAAGAGGCCAGTGTGGTGAACTAGCATGTACTCAGGTCCGCAGAGTCTTACTCAGATGAGCAGCACCAATAGTGAGTGAAACATTTTAGTTATCTGATTTGGAGATGGTTTGAGAAGGCACTGGCAGCATATATGGAAAGTAAAGCCATTGTAGAAAATTTAGTGAAGTCGGTGAGAATGTCAGATATTTTTGAATGTTAACTTAAACAGCTGATGCATTACTTGTGTCTATACCAAAAATGTCTGTCAAAAAGAAAAGAAGTGCATGTCTTTTAGAGTTTTGTTTTGCCATGGATCTGAGGGTCCTACCGATACCAGTTTGAACATCTCACCAGATTACTCCTAAATATGAGCTTGGATTCATGTATGATCTTTTGCCTGTGCTGCAGAGACTGAGGAGAAAAAAAAAAGCATCGTTTTTCTTCTGGATATGTTCACAGTGACCTCACTACAGGGTCTATGATGCTTGGTCTGTTTTCAGAGTTTCAGTCCTTGGAGTCATGCTGCTACTTGAGAGGTTCAGCTCTGATTCAGATCAGCAATTCTCATCCACTCGGTTTTAAAGAAAATAGCCTAAACATTAAATAATAAGATGGGAAATAACTATCCAACAGTGACTTTTTCTCACTTCTGGTTCTTGAATGCTTAGGATTGACAGGATTACATTAATCAAAAAAATAAAGAAAAATCAGAGGTTAAAAAAAAATTTGAGAGAGCGACCAGACTGACTTGTGAAAGCTGCGAGAGATGAAAACTCAAAACAGCCAGGGCCGAACTGCAGCTTGAGACAGTGCTGAGAATTAACGTGTCACACACTGGCTACTGTAAAAACTGTTGCTGATGGAGGAAGCTGTTCTCATTCTCTCCAGGATCTACCAAGACAAGACACAAAGTTTTAAAACACAGCCTGCATAAATGGATGTCTGAATTCAAGCACCTGAGATGGTTTAGCCATCCAAACTAATGGCCTGACTTCCCAACATGCTGCTGCAGTTTGGAGTTGTAGGTAATCAGGGTTCGGAAAATTGGGCCTCCTTCCTTAGAGGACTGCAGATGGGCTGAAGTGCCTAGGGTTTGGCAGCCCACTTGGAAAGGTTCATCAGTCCTTTAAGCATAAAGGATGTATAGCAGCATATTTTCCTAATGTTTTAGGTTAAGTTGGAATCTGGCACTGATTAAAAGAGGGGAATTAGTATTTCTCAGTTGAAAACTAAGATCAGGCTCTTAGTTTGACAGATTTGATCTACTGACATCCAATGGCCTGACTCTGATCTCCTACCAGTCTTATTTTGTGTGACTTCATTGACTTCCTTAGTAAGATTCCTGATTTACATGATCACGGAAACAAAGCTAGAACATGAGGATGCTCCTGCAGACTCTTACCAGTGGATACTGACCTTAGTCTTGCAAAGACTCATGGACATGCTCACTTTTATGGACCATGCACCAGTGGTCTCAAGCCATTGTAGGACTGAGCCACTGGATTTACCAGTCTGAGTAGCAGACATCAGTACTGCAATCAGCAGGGTTTGTGGGAACTGGCCTTTTGACTTAAATAAGCAACCTGCACTTTTCAGTGCAGTACATAGTCTCATTTCTGATGGTGCCACATAACTCTTTATTTTTGCTTTGTGGTCTATATGTGGGTTTTAGATAGAAGTTTCTTCCTACCAAACCTGATTGTCATCATTCATGTTTTTGCCCTGAATAATATGTGCATTTAGGTATTCATTTCATGTGTAATCTCAGTTAAGTTATGATATTTATAATGACATATATAGTGTGTGATAGTGATTTTCGTTTACATTCTGCCAAAATGTAGACGTTAGAGTTAGACCTCCAAGGTCCAAAATCATCCTTGAGCAAAGTGCTTGTTTCTTCAGAGGCAGGCATCAGAAAAAGGAAAAGCTGTCCAAAAAGAAATATTTGTATCAGAAATCTGCCGAGACAAGGCTGTAGATCACAAGCAGAGCATGTCATTGCTAGTGATGTATCTTTATGCTATGGAACTCTAACCTGTATGTGTCATATTGACTTTTTGCTGCATGAATCATAAATTATAAAAATCAGTCTTACGGTTTTGAGATGTAGCCAGCATTCCTAAGGCTAAACCTTTTTCATTGACGGAATCCAAATCCAAAACCAAGGAACATGCTCCTCTCACTGTGAGAGCAATTGAAGTGTTCAGCATTTATCTTTTCACAAAGACAGAGGCAACAGGACCTCTTAATGTGTCTGTTATTGTGATCATCTGGAAATGATTGCCAGACATTTCCTTTTGATATAGCAGTGAAGTGATCCGTATTTAAATTTTATAGAGAGAAATTTATTCTAGTGTGATAGAGATTTATTTTCCACTTGAAGATTCGAAACAGTGTGAGCACATTTTTTTACTATGGTATATTTTTGCTTTAAAATTCAAAACAAACAAACAAAAAGGTTTGGCCTTATCACAGAGTTTTAGTGTGTCGTATAGGTGTTAGCAAATGCAAAAAGTATGCATTATTTGTGTGTATTCACATTGACTGATGTCGCCTTCAAAAAGCAATATTGTGCAGGTAATAAGTTGTTTGTGACTGTCGATTGCACAGTTTACCTTCTTTAAAAGCTAACCTTGTTTATGCACAAGACAATCAAATGTAAGTCTACATCAGCACCCGGGTGTAGATTAAATTTATGTAAATTACTGAGCACAATGTAAAACATAAAAAAGACACTTTATTTAATTATACATTTAATGTTGGTAAAGATAGTATCAGGGCATGAACTATCTGACATACTGTAATTTCTTTTTCTCCTTTCCTATTTCCTTAGCACTCTTCAG